GCACTGCAGGTACTTGCATAAGTCTTCTAAGCGTGTCTGTGTTGTGTATCAACCCCTAACATGGCATTCCAGGTAAGCAATATATTTAAGGAGCAGTGTTAGCCATTCCACCCTGCCCCTTGAGTTTCCAAGGCTATGCCGTGATTTGAACCTGGGTTTCCCGAGTGCTGGTCTGACACTTCTATGCATGTAGCCTTTTACTATTTTGGTTGATTTGTTTTCTGAAGAACCCACTACCATCATGCCCATTTTTTTTCAGTTTGTAGGGATGGTTTTCCACACACACTCTTAGAGGTACCGAGTCATCAGAAAATATCTCCCATTTTGTTTCTTCTTGCTACCACAATTCCCAAAGGCAGAAGGTACTGTTAAGAATCTTCGAAGGAAAAATATGTGACGTGTCCCAAATGACAGAGAGAACAAGTTTCAGGTGATTTTAAAATCACCTGAAAATATACACAGGCAAAAATGCTGCTGCTTAGTATAGTAAATCATACTTGAATAGGCCCTTTTGAATCAACAGAATTTACAGAAGAGTTCACTCACCAAATTCCCACTGATTTAGTTTACTGCAATCCTTTAAGAAACAGGATTTTGGCTACATATGTTATTTGATGAAAATATGTTATGGCAATCCATCTTCAATATTGTTACAACAAGGGATAGTTAACTGCTTTGTCTTAAACCTCAGAAAATTTAATTATGCTACTGGAGGAATGGAAGGGAAAAATAGAATTAAAGTGTGATTTGTAACCCACAGTGGATTTAAGTAGTAGCCAGCAGCCTTGTAGATCCTGGGCTGAATGCTTTACCACATTATTGTTGTAGTTATGATGGTCGGGAGGCATTTGAAAGAGCAGACCACCACACATTTTTAATTTAACTTGTTTAAGAATTCAAGAATATAAACTTGACTTTCTTTCTTTTCTTTTTTCTTTTTGCCTAATTTGGGAACACAAAGGCTCCAAATGGCTAGAAGAAATCCATAATAGTGAGAGAAAACAATTCTGTCTCCCTCAAAAGCCAATGGATAGCTATGTTGCCTCTCACTTGAGGAAATGGATTGGAAAGATCTCCAGCCCTATTTCACTGGCTAAAACTAGAACTATTTGTCCAGTCTGTTGGGAATAGCTCAAAGTACACACTTGTGTGATCCAGCTGCTGCCATAAAAACTTCTATTTACAAAATAGTTCATTCTATACAAAAGGCCTATGTACAAAGACACATTATCTTGTTTCCCTCAGGAGACTGAAAAGCCGCCTGACCAAGAACACAGATTTATGCACACATCCCACTGACTGTACTTGAAAGCAGCAGTAAATCATAAAGAGAAACAATACATGGAATGAAGATTAAGGACCTGCAAGTCCTGTGGAGCAATGGTTAAACTACAGTGCTGCAGTCAAGCCTCCACTCACAACCTGAGTTCAATCAGAACAGATTCAGGTAGCCTTCCATCCTTCTGAGGCCAGTAAAATGAATACCCAGCTTGCTAGGGGGGCAAAGTGTTCCTTGCACAGTTATCTTGTAAACTGCACCGAGAGTGCTCTAGCACTATGGGGCAATATATAAGTCAAGACAATCATCATGTTAAATCTGCAATGAACCTTACAGGTGCTTCTCCTAAAGGCAACTGTTAACCTCATACCTGACCTTACGATTACTTATGAGCAGTAAGGATTAAGGGTGGGACTTACATATTTAATGGACTCCCCTCATCATAACAAATTATGGAAGTGAAAGCCCCATAGCAGTATGAGATAGAGCAGCCCCTCTACCTGCAAGTGGCTCCCTCTGTGTTCCTCCAGTCAACAATCTGCTGAAGCAGGAGAACTGTGATATATCTTTAGGCCTGCAAAGCCTTGTATGGAGGTAGCCTCTGATGGAGACCACGGGGCTTTATAACCATCAGGAAATTTGATGATTCCCACAGTCCAGTGGGGTACTGTTCTCCCCAATGACTGGAGAAACAGCAAGGGAACAGAATATAGGTGGAAGGGACTGTTCTACCTAGTACAGTGGACCCTTGACTTACAGACGGCTTGACTTACAGACTTTTTGAGTTACAGACTTCTCTGGCCGCAAAATTTAGGTTTGACTTGCAGACTGAGATTTGACTTACAGACCAGAAAAAAACCAAAATGGAACAAAAACGGCCTGTTACGGGATTAATCGGTTTTCAATGCACTGTAGGTCAATGGAGACTTGACTTACAGACTTTTTGACTTGAGAACCGCCTTCCAATATGGATTAAGTTCTCAAGTCAAGACCCCACTGTACTGCTATGGGGCTTTCACTCCCATAGTGTTTCTGTAGTTATGATTTTTGTCAGAGTTCAACTACAATTCTGCTTTTGTACTTTCTTCTTTCACTCATCAGAAGTCATTTCAGCATGTCAGAAGCAGCATTATCAGACAAGTGCCTTCCCCAGTCCTGCTGTCCACAATCCAAGTAAAAATGTCATAGATTGGCCTGAGACATTGGCATGCAAAGCATGTAAATAGGTATGGTTCCTAAAAATCTAACCAAGTTCTTTCATATTTTATACAGAAAACTGTTACAGGCCAACCCTTTATGCCTCAAAGATCTTAATTTTATACTGCAGACTCTTAGCTAACTGAGTCTACTTTTAAATCTATTTTCACTTGTAATCTGACAAAATTTGTTGCAGTCAATGTTGCAGTTCTACACACACTTATTTGGAAGTGATTCCCAATTAACAAGCAAGACTTACTTTTACATAGATAGATATAGGGTTGAACTGCAAGGCAAAAGAGGTCAGTAGTGCTCAGTGCGTTCCTCTGTTTTATGCATTTACTCTGTTGCAAAGCAGTTGTCATGCTTTTGCAATATGCAGACATGTTACCTTTATTTCACAGAACAGCTTCAATGGACTGAATTCTTGACATACTGATACACTGCTTGCATAAAATACTGTACAGGATGGGTAGCTAGAAGTAATAATTTTTCATTTCAAAAGTTGACATTTGAACCATTGTTTGACTATGAATTTTCCAGGTACCCAAGAGGGAAAGCTGTTGTGTTTGAGTTGCAATTGAGACACAATTCTTTCAAACAGCCTTTAAATAAACTTATATTCACAAATGACCCAGATTTTTAAAACCTCTGCTACACAACACCCCAATGTTAGGATAAGGCAAGAAATTAGACAAAAGAGCTACACAAATTTCATTGCTACGGCACAGCTTTGTAGCAATCAGCAAATCATGAAAGAAGAGAAAGCAGAAGTTGATGTACTTATGATTTATTTTTGTGCTTTCCGTGCCGATAACTACCCACCACAACTACAGCACCACTGACAATTCATTATGACTAAAAGGCAGGGAGAATTGGAATTGCTATAAAGGAGGACTTGGCTAATGAAAGAGCCAAACTATAAAATTCTTCCAAGACCATTTCATTCAAAGCACCCTAAAAGGAATGTAAGTCCGGAAAACAGAAGCACTGCAATAATCTCTGAAAGAGTTGGAATTAACCGCATTGTAACAATAGCAGTATTAACATTTTTTTAAAACTCAAACCCCTCACCCCTCATTTATATTATATTATATTCTAAGGTCAATCCTGTGCTCTGAGATCAAAACTGCTTTACACATGTAAAAAGACTGAAACCTTTTTTCCTCCCTTGCCTGAAGAATTCTTCATTTTTTACTGTTCCATTCCAGCAGAAGGAAAAAAACACAACCCATGCACAGTTAACAGTAACTGCAAAGACCTGTAGTCACTGCTGTCACCACTAATTTGAGCTATTAAATTGGAAGGAACTTTCTAGAACAGTAGGAATGTGGCTTTTGTACTCTTGACTGCTTCCGATTCTGTTGGGTGAAGAGGTCAATGAGAGCCACCAAATCAGTGCAGGAAAGCTGAAATTAGGGGCTCCCTTAATATCACTCATTTACAGTAGACTGCCCCTCCCCAATCACACTGCCCTCACACTGAAGTGTCCTTCCCCGTCCACCCCTTCTGCCACCCTCTGCCCTTTGGTCATAGTAAACTGTCAGTCATGCTAGAGTGTTTTAAACTACTAAATCCATAATCTCTAACCAGTGCAGTTGGGGATTAGGGGGATGTAGTCAACCATATTTTGAGGGCACTAGGTTGAGGAAGGCTGATGAAGGCCATAGAAAAGGGTGCATCCTCCTAACCGAAACAGAAATGTTACTGTTCCAGCCTGAAAAGTCAGATTGCTCATGACTGATCTCGTCTTAATAGGAGACACAAGCAAGGCGCTCCAAGGAATAAATGACTGGCTTTGGGGAAGGTGTTCAGTCCTCATTCACTGTGATGTCAATCAGGTTTACTACCTTTTACTACCTTTCATTCCAAACCTTTTACTATCTTTCATTCCAGGCACAGCATGTCTACAGGAAGGTGACGCAACCTACACAGAGGCCATTTCCACAAATGCATTCTAACAGCTAAACTCTCCTGCACCTGGTTACATGGAAGATCTCAGTAAGTAGAGCTTATTTTCACAGAAGCATGGAAGGACAGCAGCCTAAAGGTTCTCTCCACAAAACTTATCATCATCCTCATCCCTGTCGCTTCATGGAAATTTTGTCCCTTCTAGACATGACCCTATAAGCCCTTCACAAGAAGTAACTCCACATATCAGCCACCAAAGGTAAAAACAGCATCACCAGGACACAACGATGATGTAATGGCCATGACCTCATGATGATGACAGTGGTGATGATACAATCCAAGAAAGCTGGCACGTCTAACAAAAAAAAGGGGAGGTATCTGAGGCTTACTGCTGGAATGACCAAACACGGAGATAACAGATAATTGAAAGTCAGATGCAAGCACGTATTTGCAGAAAGCAAATCCTGCGCCAAGATATCTGCCGTGGAGGCTGCATGTAAACATGCCCAAAGGGAAGCAACGGCCTCCCAAACTGGAGCGGCATCACAACGTCTCATTTCTCTTTTTCCCAAAGAGGAGCCCCCCCTCCTGCCGCCGCCGCTGCCCCTCTTACCGGCGATCCCTCCGCTGCCGCCATCTCCTCCGTGCCCCTTTCTTCTCTGCAGGATGAAGTAAGGGTTGGCCCTCTCCGTGATCCACAGGGCGTTCGCCAGCAGCACCTCCTCCGGGTTCACCCACATGCTCTCGGCCGAGACAAAGGCAGCCGCCGCCGTCGCCGCCGCCGGTGGGTTCCGCTCGCTTTAAATCATGCAGACGCCCGCAGGATGCTGCAAAGCCCCGGCACGCCGAGAGCGCTCCGCCCAGCCCAGGTAGGAGTCCGCAACGCCCCGCCGGCCGCTAGAAGACACATCGGGAGGAGAGCCGGGAAGAGAAACGGACAGGCGCCGCATGCCCGCCGCCGAGACCCGGCTCATCCAAGCTCCTGCCCGAGCCGAAGCGAAGAACGAAGCGAGCCGTCAGGCGCCTCGGGAAGCTCGATCGGAGCAGGGCGGCGGGGAGAAGCGGAGAGGAGAGGAGCGGTGACCTCAGAGAACATCAGCGCCAGCCACCGCCGGGCCCGCCCAGCCGCGCCACCAC